ATGTTGAGTTTGCGGTGTCTCTCTCTCTCTCTCCTTGGTGGTGTGGATTTTTCTCTGGTCCCCCCCCCCCTCCACATTTAGAATCATCGTCCCTTTTGAGTACTTGGCTGCTATAAATTTCCACGCAATGATGAGCCACTTCGTTGAGCTCTCATGTGTGATCACCAGCTCGCTTCTGAAAAGAGCTCACAGCTCAGTGGGGCCTTACCTGCTAAAATAAAAAGTTTCGTTTAATAGAGATGGATTGTTGTTGGGGTGGGATGGGGGGGTTTAGCGTTGTGCATTGTTTGTCAAATAATAAGTATAACCCGTAAAAACAAAGTTTTTCACTATAAATCCTTTATATGCGTGGCGGCTAGAGTCCTCTCGTCCTCTGGCTTGAGATGGCTGCCACCTATGGGTCAGATGATTGTCTGCCAGTATTAAGCAATTGGTAATTAAATATTTTATTTGTTTTCCCTAAACAGTGTAAAATTTTGGGAAAAAAATTTCACGAACATTAATTGTCTCGCACAGCGAGTCTGTGTGCAAAATGTCAGCTCGATTGGATCACGGGAAGTAGGTTAAAAAACGACCGAAAGATTTGCACGGTCGTAAGCAAGCACGCAAGCACGCAAGCAAGCAAGCACGCAAGTGAACTTAATATAAAGGATTTAAAGAGAGTTTAGTTTGTTTCAGAGAACCCGCTTATTGGAGAGCGGCGCCCGGAAAATCCCTCGGAGCAGGATAATAAAACGCGCTCTCGCATCACGTGCGGGGACCATCGCGAGACGTGGAATCGGCACGGAGCTCTCTCTGCGAGCGGCCCAACCCCCCCCCCCCCCCCCCCCCCGCTGCCCCCCACCCCTCTCCGGGTTAGAGAAGGGGCCCGCGGAAGCGGACGTTGCAGAGCGACCTCCTGCGATGCCTTCGAGTGACCGCACGCAGGGGAGGGCGGCACTGGCCCACTTGCCGTGCCGCACAGCGGCGTTTTGAGGCTCGTCAGAGGCGGGCGCAAGGTTTTTTGTAAATTCTCAGAGCTGGAATTTTTCCAAGAAAACGACGAATGTGAGAGCCAAAGTCGAGCGATTTGTCGGCCGTGCCGCATCTCCTCTTTACAGCCCTCTGAGCCAGTCGTGGAAATGCCACGTTCCTATGGCGGGGGCGAGTCCACCCATAGCACACTAGCTGTTCACTTCCCCCGCACCTCCGATTGGCGCGGTTGGTCACGTACGCTGCAAAAGAATTTCGAACAAGTGGTACAGTACTCATTTTATAGAGTTAACCCCTTGGGTGTGACCTTTACAATTGTTAGCCGCTGGGCCTTACCGCTGAACCACACCAGGCCATGGTAAAAAAAAAATAACCGCTCGTGACCAACATGGGCCTGAGGGTGACGATGATTATCTGGGCTCTCTACTCTTCCTCGTGACCCAGGGCCCCCCCAGGAATAAGAAGAGCGTCGCGGGCCCACGTTACTTCTGAAGGCCGTCTCTGACGCTCGCCCGCCGGGTTACGCTGCCCGCCGCGTCCTTGCCGTCGCCGGTGCCAACATCGGCGCGTTTGGCCGACGCACGCTGCCTCGGTTATCACGGGCGGGCAGGTGCAAACACGCCAGCACGCGCCGGCGCGTTGCGGCGTGCCGACGCACGCGTGCGTGCGGTGGGGGAGCGGCGGTAAGGTGGAAGGCGACGAGGCTGAGAGCGCCGTGCGTGCGACGTGGGGGGATGGTCACGTGGTGTGCGTGCAAGGCACGATGGGAGGTCGCGCCCATGTCGACCACCGGGGGTTTGTTATTGTAATCTAGACCAGGGGTTCCCAACCCCCGGGCCACGGACCGGTAGCGGCCCGTAGCCTATTAGGAACGGGGCCGCACGGCAGCAGGAGGTGAGAGCGGTGGGACCGCGCGTGGCCCCCGACCCCCCATTGTTTTATTGTTCACCACTTCGTGCTTCTCTCCCGCACTGCGCGCTTGTCTCAGTCACGGTGTTGGTGATCTCACAAGCTCTAACCCCGACCCACGATGAGTAGAAAACAAACGTCGCCGGAGAGCTTCTTTGAAAAGGGGGAAGACCCAATGATGACCCCCCCCCTGGTGCCCACGAGGTTTGGGGCCGCTGCCCTAGACGACGCAGCGGCGGCTCGCGCTGCTCACCCGGCGACGCGAGTTCTTACGCGAGTTCCCAATCGCGACCGCCACCGGCAGTGGGCCTCCCAGCGGGGTCAACTCCACGTCGAACGCCGCCCCCCGTGGCTCTGTCTCCTCACGAGCATGCCGCCCCCCGTGGCTCTGTCTCCACACGAGCACGCCGCCCCCCGTGGCTCTGTCTCCTCACGAGCACGCCGCCCCCCGTGGCTCTGTCTCCTCACGAGCACGCCGCCCCCCGTGGCTCTGTCTCCACACGAGGACGCCGCCCCCGGGGCTCTGTCTCCTCACGAGCACGCCGCCCCCCGTGGCTCTGTCTCCACACGAGCACGCCGCCCCCCGGGGCTCTGTCTCCTCACGAGCACGCCGCCCCCCGGGGCTCTGTCTCCTCACGAGCACGCCGCCCCCCGGGGCTCTGTCTCCACACGAGCACGCCGCCCCCCGGGGCTCTGTCTCCACACGAGCACGCCGCCCCCCGGGGCTCTGTCTCCACACGAGCACGCCGCCCCCCGGGGCTCTGTCTCCTCACGAGCACGCCACCCCCCGTGGCTCTGTCTCCACACGAGCACGCCGCCCCCCGGGGCTCTGTCTCCTCACGAGCATGCCGCCCCCCGTGGCTCTGTCTCCTCACGAGCACGCCGCCCCCCGGGGCTCTGTCTCCTCACGAGCACGCCGCCCCCCGTGGCTCTGTCTCCTCACGAGCACGCCGCCCCCCGTGGCTCTGTCTCCACACGAGGACGCCGCCCCCCGTGGCTCTGTCTCCTCACGAGCACGCCGCCCCCCGTGGCTCTGTCTCCACACGAGGACGCCGCCCCCCGGGGCTCTGTCTCCTCACGAGCACGCCGCCCCCCGTGGCTCTGTCTCCTCACGAGGACGCCGCCCCCCGTGGCTCTGTCTCCTCACGAGCACGCCGCCCCCCGTGGCTCTGTCTCCACACGAGGACGCCGCCCCCCGGGGCTCTGTCTCCTCACGAGCACGCCGCCCCCCGTGGCTCTGTCTCCTCACGAGGACGCCGCCCCCCGTGGCTCTGTCTCCACACGAGCACGCCGCCCCCCGTGGCTCTGTCTCCACACGAGGACGCCGCCCCCCGGGGCTCTGTCTCCTCACGAGCACGCCGCCCCCCGTGGCTCTGTCTCCTCACGAGGACGCCGCCCCCCGGGGCTCTGTCTTCTCACGAGCACGCCGCCCCCCGTGGCTCTGTCTCCACACGAGGACGCCGCCCCCCGTGGCTCTGTCTCCACACGAGCACGCCGCCCCCCGTGGCTCTGTCTCCTCACGAGCACGCCGCCCCCCGTGGCTCTGTCTCCTCACGAGCACGCCGCCCCCCGGGGCTCTGTCTCCTCACGAGGACGCCGCCCCCCGTGGCTCTGTCTCCTCACGAGCACGCCGCCCCCCGTGGCTCTGTCTCCTCACGAGCACGCCGCCCCCCGTGGCTCTGTCTCCACACGAGGACGCCGCCCCCCGTGGCTCTGTCTCCTCACGAGCACGCCGCCCCCCGGGGCTCTGTCTCCTCACGAGCACGCCGCCCCCCGTGGCTCTGTCTCCTCACGAGCACGCCGCCCCCCGGGGCTCTGTCTCCACACGAGCACGCCGCCCCCCCGTGGCTCTGTCTCCTCACGAGCACGCCGCCCCCCGGGGCTCTGTCTCCTCACGAGCACGCCGCCCCCCTGGGCTCTGTCTCCTCACGAGCACGCCGCCCCCCGTGGCTCTGTCTCCACACGAGGACGCCGCCCCCCGTGGCTCTGTCTCCTCACGAGGACGCCGCCCCCCGTGGCTCTGTCTCCACACGAGGACGCCGCCCCCCGTGGCTCTGTCTCCTCACGAGCACGCCGCCCCCCGGGGCTCTGTCTCCTCACGAGGACGCCGCCCCCCGGGGCTCTGTCTCCTCACGAGCACGCCGCCCCCCGGGGCTCTGTCTCCACACGAGCACGCCGCCCCCCGGGGCTCTGTCTCCTCACGAGCACGCCGCCCCCCGGGGCTCTGTCTCCTCACGAGCACGCCGCCCCCCGTGGCTCTGTCTCCTCACGAGCACGCCGCCCCCCGGGGCTCTGTCTCCTCACGAGGACGCCGCGTGCCGGCCGGGGCGTGGGGTCGGCCACACCGCCGCTCCCAGGCGTGCGCCGTGCCGGCCTTGATGGGCGCTCGCAGAACGCCGCTCGCCCCAACGGCCTGTCGGACGTGTGCGGGCACGCGCTGACGTCACCGTTCTTAGTGATTTCCTGATGTCACTATGCTTATTGACTTGCTGACGTCACGATTCTTATCGATTTGTTTACGTCACGATTCTTATTGATTTCCTCATGTCACTATGCTTATTGATTTGCTGACATCACGATTCTTATCGATTTGCTAACGTGAAGATTCTTTGCCATTTGCTGACAGCAAAATTATTATTGATTCACTGACGACACAATCGTCGTTTCGTGGTGTTACAATCATTATCGAATTGCTGACGTCACGATCATTATCGATTTACTAATGTCACAATAAGTATCGATTCGCGGACGTCACGATCATCGATTCACTGATAACACGATTATTATGGATATGGCCGATAGAACAAATGAGATTACAAACGGGAAACAAACAACACAAACGTGGGCGTGTGTGCGTCTGTGTGTGTGTTTGTGTGAACCCGGCGATCTGGTTTCGATTCCCGCTCACGGCCAACACCAGTGACGATTATCTGAACCGGTCCTCGGCCTCCCCTAGGTCGACTCAGCCTCAGAACCTGGTGCAGTGTGTAAACATCGCCACTGGGGAGACAAAGGCGGTCGGGCGTGGTGCTGGCCACCCACCCCCTCGCGAACAGCCCTTGCCCCAGCAGTCTGTCAAGGCTATATGGGGGATCTTTGTCTTTGTTTGCGCGTCACAGTGCGGAGAGGGCGTCGCGCGCTCTGCTGGCCGACCCCTGCTTCCAGCTGCGCTGCGTCCAGTACCTGCTGGGGGAGACGACGCACGAGCCGGAGCGCCCACGGGGGGCAGCCACGCCCGACAAGCGCTTCTCCCTGCGCAGCTGTGGGTGGCCGCACCACCGCACCACCGCACCATCGCACCACCGCACCACCGCACCATCGCACCATCGCACCACCTCGCGGCACCGTGGCCCAGCACGACGGCACCGACTATGGCACCGCACTACCGCACTGCTCTGTGGGACACCGCGCTATGACATTGCACTGCCGCACCGCACTACGGCACCACACTAGCGCACCGCACTACCGCGGCGCTCTGCCGGAACGCCGGACAGCACCGCACCCCGCGGCTCTGTGGAACACCGCGCCGCGTTGGCACCGCACCGCGTCACGCCGCGCCGCGGTTGCGTTAGGACCGCCGCCGTGAGAACCGGCGTTGTTGTTTGTGCGGGGTCGGTGGGACCGTGGGGTACGTGAGACCCCCGTCGGGACCGCGCAACAACGAACCGCACAACAACAAACCGCACAACGCTCCCCTCGCCCCCCCACAGACGTGGACTTCGTTAGCGCCGAGGAGGTGGAGAAGGTGACGAAGATGATCGCTCGGCTCAGCGACGAGACCAAGCAAGCTGCCGCCGCTGCCATGGTAACCGCAACTTCCTGTTTCTCCCGAGCACGGTACGGCGGCCGGTGGTGTCGGTTGGTGGTGGTGGTGACGATCGTGGTGGCGGCAGTGGTATGGTGGTAATTGCGGTGGTGGTGGTGGTGATTACGATGATGGTTCGACATGGCAGGATTCACAATCATCGTCGATTTGCTGACGTCATGATCATTATAAATTTTCTGATGTCACGATCATCATCGATTCGCTTACGTCACGATCGTCATCGATTCGCTGACATCACGATCATTTTCAATTCGCTAACATCACGATCATTATCGATTTTCTGACGTCACGATCATCGGCGATTCGCTGACGTCACGATCATTATCGATTTTCTGACGTCACGATCATCGTCAATTCGCTGACGTCTCGATCATTATCGATTTTCTGACGTCACGATCATCGTCGATTCCCTGACGTCACGATCATTATCGATTTTCTGACGTCACGATCATCGTCGATTCGATGACGTCGCGACCGTCGCGGAGACGGCCGATAGAACCAATGAGACTCGCAGACGGGGAGACGACTCAAACGGGGCGGCAACAACGGGACGGGATGGAATCCGCGGCGCCGCTCTCGGCGCTGGCGCCGGCGCTGACCGCCGGTGGCGTTGTCGCCGCAGCCCACGGACGAGGAGGACCTGTGCCCCATCTGCTACGCCCACCCCATCTCCGCCCTCTTCCAGCCGTGCACCCACAAGTCCTGCATGTGAGTGTCCTCCCGCCCCACCCAATACACCCCCCCCCACACACCACCCCACACATCTCCCCACACACCCCCCCACACACCCCACACACCCACACCCCACACACCCACACCCCACACACCCACACCCCACACACCCACACCCCACACACCTCCCCCACACACCCGCACCCACACACCCAGCTACACACCCAGCCACACACCCCCCCACACACCCCACACCCCCCACCCACCCCACACACCCCCACCGCTGGGAGCCGGGGGAGGGAACGAACAGTGACAACTCGGCACTCTCACTCAGAACACCGTGGCCTTCAGAGGAGAAACAAGATGTAGCAGGCGACGTTTCGGCCAACGACCCTTCTCCAGAGCGCACACGCGGATAAATCCGGAGGCGTGGAGTCGAACGACATTTACAGACCGCACACGGACACCGTACGCTGTACAACCACGCGGCGCTCGTAGAAGCGACGGGGATAGCGATGACACGGTTTTCCAGATGGACAGAATTACATCGGCATGCGAACAGTTGACCCCCGAGTAGATATTGAGTAACAGACAAGCTCGCACTGTGGAAAGTGAAAACATAATGACACGTAAGGCGACACGCGCGTTGGCGACACGCGCGTTGGCGACACGCGCTTTAGTGACACGTGCGTTAGTGACACGTGCGTTAGTGACACGTGCGTTAGTGACACGTGCTTTAGTGACACGCGCGTTGGCGACACGCGTTAGTGACACGTGCGTTAGTGACACGTGCGTTAGTGACACGTGCTTTGGTGACACGCGCATTGGTGACACGTGCGTTAGTGACACGCACGTTAGTGACACGTGCTTTGGTGACACGCGCGTTAGTGACACGCGCTTTAGTGACACGTGCTTTAGTGACACGCGCGTTAGTGACACGCACGTTAGTGACACGTGCGTTAGTGACACGCACGTTAGTGACACGTGCTTTAGTGACACGCACGTTAGTGACACGTGCTTTAGTGACACGCGCTTTAGTGACACGCGCGTTAGTGACACGCGCGTTAGTGACACGCGCTTTGGTGACACGCGCGTTAGTGACACACGCGTTAGTGACACGTGCTTTAGTGACACGCGCGTTAGTGACACGCGCTTTAGTGACACGTGCGTTAGTGACACGCGCTTTGGTGACACGCACGTTAGTGACACGCGCTTTAGTGACACGTGCTTTAGTGACACGCGCTTTAGTGACGCGCTTCAGTGACACGCACGTTGGTGACACGCGCGTTAGTGACACGCGCGTTAGTGACACGCGCGTTAGTGACACGCGCTTTGGTGACGCGCGTTAGTGACACGCGCTTTAGTGACACGTGCTTTAGTGACACGCGCTTTAGTGACACGCGCGTTAGTGACACGCGCGTTAGTGACACGCGCTTTGGTGACACGCACGTTAGTGACACGCGCGTTAGTGACACGCGCTTTGGTGACACGCGCGTTAGTGACACGCGCTTTAGTGACACGCGCTTTAGTGACACGCGCGTTAGTGACACGCGCTTCAGTGACACGCACGTTAGTGACACGCGCGTTAGTGACACGCGCTTTGGTGACACGCGCTTTAGTGACACGCGCTTTAGTGACACGCGCTTTAGTGACACGCGCTTTAGTGACACGCGCGTTAGTGACACGCGCGTTAGTGACACGCGCGTTAGTGACACGCGCTTTGGTGACACGCGCTTTGGTGACACGCGCGTTAGTGACACGTGCTTTAGTGACACGCGCGTTAGTGACACGCGCGTTAGTGACACGCGCTTTGGTGACACGCGCTTTGGTGACACGCGCTTTAGTGACACGCGCTTTAGTGACACGCGCGTTAGTGACACGCGCGTTAGTGACACGCGCTTTGGTGACACGCGCGTTGGTGACACGCGCGTTGGTGACACGTGCGGTTTGTTGACCGACGTCCCGAGATCCGGGCCTGAGCACCGCGTGGCCCCCGGTGGCGTGCCACGGCTCGGCATCGGCCGGGAAGCCGGGAATCCCGTGCGGGCGGGGGGGGGGGGGGCTAGTGGATGGCGAGCGCGTAGCGAGACCCGCGCGTTTGGAGAGGGGCGAGAGTTGGTGGATCACACGGATCTCTGAAACGGATGGGCTCTTGACGTGGCCATCGGATGTCAGTACAAAAAGTGGGTTCGCGTGCAGTGCATCGAGCATCCCCCCCCGCCCCCCCGGGTTCTCCGGCTCCCTTCGTGACGCAGGATCCCAGTGAAGTCTTGAGGCTCGGCGTGAAGGAACGTCACGGGACTTTGTTCCTGTGACTGTGAATGACGTCGCTTGTCCACTCGCTCGCCAACTTGCTCACCAACTTGCTCACCAACTTGATCGCCCATTCGCTCACCAACTCGCTCGCCCACTTGCTCGCCCACTCGCTCGCCAACTCGCTCGCCCACTCGCTCGCCCACTCGCTCACCAACTCGCTCGCCCACTCGCTCGCCAACTTGGTCGCCCTCTCGCTCGCCAACTCGTTCGCCTGACCCTTCTCAAATGCGTTAATCATTCGCATGTTTGCAGCTTGGCCACGGTGCCAGGCACACAGCACGCGCCAACCACCTTGACAGGGACATCGCACACCATCAAGGAAGCCCCCCCACCTGAACCCCCGTGGCACCACGCAGGCTCGCACACACGCGAGGCCCCGAACTAAATTCTTGCGGAGCCAAATTTAATTTCAAAGCGATGGGTTCCATTGGGCGACGGCTGCGGCGATGGTTAAGTTACGGTGGAAAGGCCGCGCGGGAGCCAGGAACGGCCGGGCACGTGGTCGCCATCCCGTGCCACCCTTTGGTGACGCACAAACAGATGCGTCGTACAGGCGGCCGCTCCCCCCTCCCCACCGCCGGCTGTCGCGTGCGTCGTCCCTCGCGTCGCCCAGGGCCGCGGCAGAGACAGGCGACCGCCGGTTTGCCGTGCGGTCGACCGCGTGCCTCCGTGTTCGAGCTCTGCGGGTTGCGTTGCGTTCGCACCGAGCGCCCCCTTGCTCTCCCACGGGCCCACGGGGGACGGGGGATGGGGAGGAGGAAACTTTGGAAGTAAATGAGAGCAAAGGGAACCGGAGAGGACACGTTTCCCTGCCGTGAGCCACGAGCAGACGCCTGGGAAGCTGTCGATGGACACCGGTGGCTCGGGGGGGGGGGGAGTGGTGGGGGGGAGTGGTGGGGGGGAGTGGTGGGGGGGAGTGGTGGGGGGGAGTGGTGGGGGGGAGTGGTGGGGGGGAGTGGTGGGGGGGAGTGGTGGGGGGGAGTGGTGGGGGGGAGTGGTGGGGGGAGTGGTGGGGGGGAGTGGTGGGGGGGAGTGGTGGGGGGAGTGGTGGGGGGGAGTGGTGGGGGGGAGTGGTGGGGGGGAGTGGTGGGGGGGAGTGGTGGGGGGGAGTGGTGGGGGGGAGTGGTGGGGGGGAGTTGACATGCTCTAGTTGACTGCTCTAGTTGACTGCTCTAGTTGACTGCTCTAGTTGACTGCTATAGTTGACTGCTCTAGTTGATGCTCTAGTTGGACTGCTCTAGTTGACTGCTCTAGTTGACTGCTCTAGTGACTGCTCTAGTTGACTGCTCTAGTTGACTGCTCTAGTGACTGCTCTATTGACTGCTCTAGTGACTGCTCTAGTTGATGCTCTAGTGCTGCTTAGTTGACTGCTCTAGTTGACTGCTCTAGTTGACTGCTCTAGTTGACTGCTCTAGTTGACTGCTCTAGTTGACTGCTCTAGTTGACGTCTAGTGACTGCTCTAGTTGACTGCTCTAGTTGACTGCTCTAGTTGACTGCTCTAGTGATGCTCTAGTTGACTGCTCTAGTTGACTGCTCTAGTTGACTGCTCTAGTTGACTGCTCTAGTTGACTGCTCTAGTTGACTGCTCTAGTTGACTGCTCTAGTTGACTGCTCTAGTGAGCTTAGTTGACTGCTCTAGTTGACTGCTCTAGTTGACTGCTCTAGTTGACTGCTCTAGTTGACTGCTCTAGTTGACTGCTCTAGTTGACTGCTCTAGTTGCTGCTCTAGTTGACTGCTCTAGTTGACTGCTCTAGTTGACTGCTCTAGTTGACCTGCTCTAGTTGAATGCTCTAGTTGACTGCCTCTAGTTTGACTGCTCTAGTGACTGCTTAGTTGACTGCTCTAGTTGACTGCTCTAGTTGACTGCTCTAGTTGACTGCTCTAGTTTGACTGCTCTAGTTGACTGCTCTAGTTGACTGCTCTAGTTGACTGCTCTAGTTGACTGCTCTAGTTGACTGCTCTAGTTGACTGCTCTAGTTGACTGCTCTAGTTGACTGCTCTAGTTGACTGCTCTAGTTGACTGCTCTAGTGACTGCTCTAGTTGACTGCTCTAGTTGACTGCTCTAGTTGACTGCTCTAGTTGACTGCTCTAGTTGACTGCTCTAGTTGACTGCTCTAGTTGACTGCTCTAGTGACTGCTCTAGTTGACTGCTCTAGTTGACTGCTCTAGTTGACTGCTCTAGTTGACTGCTCTAGTTGACTGCTCTAGTTGACTGCTCTAGTTGACTGCTCTAGTTGACTGCTCTAGTTGACTGCTCTAGTTGACTGCTCTAGTTGACTGCTCTAGTTGACTGCTCTAGTTGACTGCTCTAGTTGACTGCTCTAGTTGACTGCTCTAGTTGACTGCTCTAGTTGACTGCTCTAGTTGACTGCTCTAGTTGACTGCTCTAGTTGACTGCTCTAGTTGACTGCTCTAGTTGACTGCTCTAGTTGACTGCTCTAGTTGACTGCTCTAGTTGACTGCTCTAGTTGACTGCTCTAGTTGACTGCTCTAGTTGACTGCTCTAGTTGACTGCTCTAGTTGACTGCTCTAGTTGACTGCTCTAGTTGACTGCTCTAGTTGACTGCTCTAGTTGACTGCTCTAGTTGACTGCTCTAGTTGACTGCTCTAGTTGACTGCTCTAGTTGACTGCTCTAGTTGACTGCTCTAGTTGACTGCTCTAGTTGACTGCTCTAGTTGACTGCTCTAGTTGACTGCTCTAGTTGACTGCTCTAGTTGACTGCTCTAGTTGACTGCTCTAGTTGACTGCTCTAGTTGACTGCTCTAGTTGACTGCTCTAGTTGACTGCTCTAGTTGACTGCTCTAGGTTGACTGCTCTAGTTGACTGCTCTAGTTGACTGCTCTAGTTGACTGCTCTAGTTGACTGCTCTAGTTGATGCTCTAGTTGACTGCTCTAGTTGACTGCTCTAGTTGCTGCTTATTGACTGCTCTAGTTGACTGCTCTAGTTGATGCTCTAGTTGACTGCTCTAGTTGACTGCTCTAGTTGACTGCTCTAGTTGACTGCTCTAGTTGACTGCTCTAGTTGACTGCTCTATAGTTGACTGCTCTAGTTGACTGCTCTAGTTGACTGCTCTAGTTGACTGCTCTTTGACTGCTTAGGTGACTGCTCTAGTTGACGCTCTAGTTGACTGCTCTAGTGACTGCTCTAGTTGACTGCTCTAGTTGACTGCTCTAGTTGGACTGCTCTAGTTGACTGCTCTAGTTGACTGCTCTAGTTGACTGCTCTAGTTGACTGCTCTAGTTGACTGCTCTAGTTGACTGCTCTAGTGACTGCTCTAGTTGACTGCTCTAGTTGACTGCTCTAGTTAGTTGACTGCTCTAGTTGACTGCTCTAGTTGACTGCTCTAGTTGACTGCTCTAGTTGACTGCTCTAGTTGACTGCTCTAGTTGACTGCTCTAGTTGACTGCTCTAGTTGACTGCTCTAGTTGACTGCTCTAGTTGACTGCTCTAGTTGACTGCTCTAGTTGACTGTTCTAGTTGACTGTTCTAGTTGACTGTTCTAGTTGACTACTAGTTGACTGTTCTAGTTGACTACTAGTTGACTGTTCTAGTTGACTACTAGTTGACTGTTCTAGTTGACTGTTCTAGTTGACTGTACTAGTTGACTGTTCTTGTTGACTGTTCTTGTTGACTGCTAGTTGACTGTTCTAGTTGACTGCTAGTTGACTGCTAGTTGACTGTTCTAGTTGACTGTTCTAGTTGACTGTTAGTTGACTACTAGTTGACTGTTCTAGTTGACTGTTCTAGTTGACTGTACTAGTTGACTGTTCTTGTTGACTGTTCTTGTTGACTGCTAGTTGACTGTTCTAGTTGACTGCTAGTTGACTGCTAGTTGACTGTTCTAGTTGACTGTTCTAGTTGACTGTTAGTTGACTACTAGTTGACTGTTCTAGTTGACTGTTCTAGTTGACTGTTCTAGTTGACTGCTAGTTGACTGCTAGTTGACTGCTAGTTGACTGTGCTAGTTGACTGTGCTAGTTGACTGTTCTAGTTGACTGTTCTAGTTGACTGTTCGTTGACTGTTCGTTGACTGTTCGTTGACTGTGCTAGTTGACTGTTCTAGTTGACTGTTCTAGTTGACTGTTCTAGTTGACTGCTAGTTGACTGTTCTAGTTGACTGTTCTAGTTGACTGTTCTAGTTGACTGTTCTAGTTGACTGCTAGTTGACTGCTAGTTGACTGTTCTAGTTGACTGTTCTAGTTGACTACTAGTTGACTGTTCTAGTTGACTGTGCTAGTTGACTGTTCTAGTTGACTGTTCTAGTTGACTGCTAGTTGACTGCTAGTTGACTGTTCTATTTGACTGTTCTAGTTGATTGTTCTAGTTGACTGTTCTAGTTGACTGTTCTAGTTGACTGTTCTAGTTGACTGTTCTAGTTGACTGTTCTAGTTGACTCTGCTAGTTGACTGTTCTAGTTGACTGCTAGTTGACTGCTAGTTGACTGTTCTAGTTGACTGCTAGTTGACTGTTCTAGTTGACTGTTCTAGTTGACTGTTAGTTGACTGTTAGTTGACTGTTCTAGTTGATTGTTCTAGTTGACTGTTCTAGTTGACTGTTCTAGTTGATTGTTCTAGTTGACTGTTCTAGTTGACTGTTCTAGTTGACTGTTAGTTGACTGCTAGTTGACTGTTCTAGTTGATTGTTCTAGTTGACTGTTCTAGTTGATTGTTCTAGTTGACTGTTCTAGTTGACTGTTCTAGTTTACTGTTCTAGTTGACTGCTAGTTGACTGTTCTAGTTGATTGTTCTAGTTGACTGTTCTAGTTGACTGCTAGTTTACTGTTCTAGTTGACTGTTCTAGTTGACTGCTAGTTGACTGTTCTAGTTGACTGCTAGTTGACTGTTCTAGTTGACTGCTAGTTGACTGCTAGTTGACCGTTCTAGTTGATTGTTCTAGTTGACTGTTCTAGTTGACTGTTCTAGTTGACTGCTAGTTGACTGTTCTAGTTGACTGCTAGTTGACTGCTATTTGACTGCTAGTTGACTGTGCTAGTTGACTGTTCTAGTTGACTGTTAGTTGACTGTTCTAGTTGACTGCTAGTTGACTGCTAGTTGACTGTTCTAGTTGACTGCTAGTTGACTGTTCTAGTTGACTGCTAGTTGACTGTTCTAGTTGACTGTTCTAGTTGACTGTTCTAGTTGACTGCTAGTTGACTGTTCTAGTTGACTGCTAGTTGACTGTTCTAGTTGACTGTTCTAGTTGACTGCTAGTTGACTGCTAGTTGACTGTTCTAGTTGACTGCTAGTTGACTACTAGTTGACTGTTCTAGTTGACTGCTAGTTGACTGTTCTAGTTGACTGCTAGTTGACTGTTCTAGTTGACTGCTAGTTGACTGTTCTAGTTGACTGTTCTAGTTGACTGCTAGTTGACTGTTCTAGTTGACTGTTCTAGTTGACTGCTAGTTGACTGCTAGTTGACTGTTCTAGTTGACTGCTAGTTGACTGTTCTAGTTGACTGCTAGTTGACTGTTCTAGTTAACTGTTCTAGTTGACTGTTCTAGTTGACTGCTAGTTGACTGCTAGTTGACTGTTCTAGTTGACTGTTCTAGTTGACTGCTAGTTGACTGTTCTAGTTGACTGCTAGTTGACTGTTCTAGTTGACTGTTCTAGTTGACTGCTAGTTGACTGCTAGTTGACTGTTCTAGTTGACTGTTCTAGTTGACTGCTAGTTGACTCCCGTTGTCCGCGTGTCACGGCGCCGCTGCGTTGGCTGCACTGCCGTGGCGTCCGCGTGGCTCTAAACCCGCCGTGTGCCCCCCCCCCCCCCGCCAGGGCGTGCATCCGCCAGCACCTGATGAACAACAAGGAGTGCTTCTTCTGCAAGGCGCCCGTCACCGCCGTGGAGGCCTACACCAAGACCCCCCCCGCCTCCACGCCCACCGGCCCCTAGCTGCTCGCTCACCACGCTCGCTCACCACGCTCGCTCACCACGCTCGCTCACCACGCTCGCTCACCACGCTCGCCATGTTCACTCTCGCTCACCACGCTCGCCACATTCACCTCTGGCAAGCCCACACTCGCCACACTCGCCTGCTCACCCACGCTCACCGAGTGCAGCGCTCACCACAATCACCCGTCACACTCGCTGCCGCCAACTGCAATGCTCACCACGCGCATATCCGCCCACCCTCGCTCACCCTCGTTCACTCATAGCCTCTCTCACACACACACGCACCTTGACACACGCACCTTGACACACGCACACACATGTTTGCCGTGTAAGCGATTCGTCGAGTAGCGCTAACTGTGAAACTCGCGATACATAACTCGCTTCGCTTCACGCGTGCCAACAATCTCATGCATTCATACAAACCCCGCGCAGGCGTTCCGCAGACAGGCGAGTGGGACACACCAATGGGAACGCCCGAGACAAGCGGCACAAACACACAATCGTGTTTGCTTCAATCAAATCCTTGACAGCTCCTCCAACCGGCAACGTGCGTGTGTACGTCACGTGCCTCTACCATATCTACTTGTACAGGGCCTACCAGGAGCATTTAACCCCCCCCCCCCCGAGCCGCGCTCACAAGAGGGATCGACACGACGGGGCCGGCGTTGTCGTCGCTGGCGAGTATAGGAAGAGGGGGGGGGGCAGCACCCACGTGGCATTGGTCCTGGGCCCCCCGGGCTCACGCACCACGGGGGGCCCGGGGTGGGGGGACGGCTCTTGGGGAGCGCCACTGCCGGAGAGATGGGGGGCGCCGCTCCGACGAGAGCTCCCTCAGGCACGCGAAGCGACTGCGGGGGGGGGGGGGGGGGGGCTGTAGTCCCTTGTCACGTGGGAGGGGGGGGCAGGTCCGTTACCCGGAACGTCCGTTCTTTTTAAAACGTCGCCCGTGTAATCGCGCGCGGCGGTGCCTTTGCGATCGAGTGAATCGGCTTTTAAGATAATAATAATAACGACGATGATGACGACGATAACCGCATGCAGGTGAAGCGCGGCACGACTATAACCACCGCGTGCACCCCCCCTCCCCCCCCCTCGTGCCGCACCAGCGGCCTCGTGGGCGGCTCTCGACAATAAACAGCGACGGTCCCGCTGCTGCCGCCGCCGCCGCCGCTGGTGGTGGTGGTGGTTTTACTCGAAGCGCCCCGTGTCTCCGCGTTCCTTCTTCCACGCGGCGTCCGCGGAGTGCGGTGACCCCCATCCTCCGGCTCCGCAGCTCCCGAGTCTTGGCCGGAGACCCGAGCCCCACGGGGGAGGGGACGTCTCTGCCCGTCTCCGGCGGTGACACCACCGCCGGGTTCGTTCCGTGCCGCTGCCGTGTCGGCGTGACCCCCGTCGCTCGCGGCGTTGGCGGCGGCGTTGCCGAGGCCCTCCTCGCCGTGCACCCGCCTCACCCCGCGGGGAAGGGCGCCGTGGGGGTGCTCCACGCCGCGACATGCCGCTCGCTCGGTGCGCCACCGCCAACGCGCTGTGCCAACGCGGGCCCGATGCCAGCCCGTTCACTCTGTGCCTCCTACCGCGCGTGCCCCTGACCACCGCGTCTACGCCGGTGCGGCCGGCCAGCTCCGACTTTAAGGAACTCTGAGCGCGGGCCACGTGGCCGCGTCATCGATTCATTCCATCGGCGTGCGGCTTTAGCGCCGCAGCAAACGGAGCCACGGCGGGCGGAGTCTCGGCCCTCGCTCGTCGTCTGCCCGCCTGGGTATTCAACCCTCGGCAGGGTCGGCCTCACTCCGGCAGATAGATAGATAGATCGTTTATTGTCATTGTCACCAGTACAACGAAATTTAAAATGCTCACCAGTCAGGGCATCATTCATAAATTTAAATTAAATAAAACAATAAAAATAAAATTAAATGAAAGATAATCAATTTATACTATATATAAAAACAGCCCAAGTATACCCACATACCCACATAAGGTTACATTTTGTCATTGCACATCTCTATTTCACAGTCAATTGTAAACACTATTACTTAATAATTAATTAGCATTATTGAGTGTGGTGATCGCTGTAGGGTAAAAGCTCTGTTTGAATCTGTTTGTCCTTGTTTTGACTGATCTGAATCGTCTGCCTGATGGCAACAGCTCAAACAGTGAGTGTCCAGGGTGAGAAGAGTCCTTTATAATGTTCTGTGCTTTTTTGATGCAACGTGAACTGTGTAGTTCTTCCAGTGTGGGGAGATGGCAGCCGGCGATCTTTTGGGCTGTGTTGATGCCCCTCTGGAGCGCTTTCCTCTGAGCCACTGTGCAGCTGGTGTACCATACACAGATGCAGTATGTAAGAATGCTCTCGATGGAGGCTCGGTAGAAGGACACCAGCAGTTTCTGTGTGATGTTATTATTCCTGAGAATTCTCAGGAAGTAAAGTCTCTGCTGGGCCTTTTTCAGAAGCTCAGTGCTGTTGGCGCTCCAGGTCAGGCCCTCCCCAATGTGGACTCCCAGGAAGCAGAAGTCTGCCACCCTCTCCACACAGTCCCCGCTGATGATTAGTGGTGGAGTGTCCGTTTTCTTTCTCCTGTAGTCTATTATGAGCTCCTTGGTCTTTGCGGTGTTAAGGAGCAGGTTGTTGCCCCTGCAGTATGCTGTCAGCCGCTCCACCTCGTCCCTGTAGGCAGACTCATCCCCCCCAGAGATGAGCCCCACCACTGTGGTGTCATCAGCAAACTTCACAATGGTGTTGCTATGGTGGACGGCGGCACAGTCATGTGTGTAGAGGGAGTAGAGCAGGGGGCTCAGTACACAGCCCTGGGGGGAGCCGGTACTGAGGCTCAGGGCTGTGGATGTATGACGGCCCACTCTGACCCTCTGTCTGCGGCCCGAGAGGAAACTATATATCCACATGCAGGTGGAATGTGGAATCCCCAGGTCGCCCAGTTTTTCCACCAGTTTGTGTGGGAGGATGGTGTTGAACGCGGAACTGTAATCCACGAAGAGCATCCGCACATAGCTCCCCTGCTGCTCCAGGTGTGACAGTGCAGCATGTAGTGCTGTGGCCACCGCGTCCTCCGTGGATCGGTTCGCTCTGTAGGCAAACTGGTGGGGGTCGAGGTTTCGGGGCAAGCTTCCTATGATGTGACTCCGGACCAGTTTTTCAAAGCACTTCATCACCACTGGCGTGAGTGCTACTGGCCGGTAGTCGTTGTAGCTGCAAATGTGGGTTTTTTTGGGCAGCGGGACTATGGTGGAGGACTTTAGGCAGGTTGGTACAGTGGACTGTTCCAGAGACAGGTTGAAAATCCTTGTGAAGACTCCAGCCAGCTCGTCAGCACAGTCCCTCAGCACACGTCCCGGGACGCCATCAGGTCCCGCAGCCTTCCTCGGGTTGACGGCTCGCAGCGTGCGCCTCACCTCATGCTCCTCCACTGTGAGGTTTAAGTTGCTGTGGACCGTGAGGTTTGGTGATGCTGTCCCTTGTGGTGTCACCTCAAAACGGGCAAAGAAGAGGTTCAACTCCTCTGCCAGAGCGTTGTCACCATCAGCAGCTCCGCGGTTGGCCCTGTAGTTGGTGAGGTGCTGGACTCCCTGCCACACCTGCCTGCTGTCGTGACTGTCCAGGCGTTCCTCAATCCTCCTGTAGTCTGCTTTGGCCTTGCGGATGCCTCTCTTCAGGTTAGCTCGGGCTGTACTGTAGAGAGCTTTGTCTCCAGAGTTGAAGGCGATATTCCTCTCCTTCAGCAGTTGCTGGACCTCCCGGGTCATCCAGGGCTTCTGGTTGGGGTAAACCCGAACGCGTTTGTCCACAGTGACAGTGTCTATGCAGTTTTTAATGTAGCACAATACACTATGTGAACACCTCCAGGTCCTGATGTTCGAAGACCCCCCAGTCGGTCCTATCAAAGCAGTCCTGCAGCTGCTGGGTGGCACCCTCAGGCCAGATGGCGACAGTTTTTGTGATGGTAGGAGCCGTTTTCTTGATGGGGGCGTATGCAGGGATCAAAAGCAGGGACAAATGGTCAGACTGGCCCAGGTGTGGTAGTGGTCTAGCCCTGTAGCCAAGTTTGATGTTGGTGTAGACCTTGTCCAGAATCTTAGTTCCCCTAGTAGCACACAGCCAACTCAGGTGGCCCTTTTGCAAGCCCCAATCACACCCTGCGCCACCACTCCGCACCCTGTTCTCAGCCACCCCGTGGCCCACCCATGTGCACAATAACTGTGCTGCAGCTGGTAAGCGGACACGGGCGGGTGAGTGGGTGATTTGGTGTGGGTTGAGTTCGTGGGTGGATGGGTAGAGCGGTGGGATGGTTGAGCGGGTCGACGGGGGTGGGTGGGAGGTCTGTGCCGAGCCACTGGCCCACGGCTCGAGATCGAGCGAGAGACGTCGGCCCCCGCACCCCAGCGGAGTGACGAGGCAACAAAGTTGGGAGCCAAGCCCCAGAGTTTCGGTCTCAGAAACGCGGAAGCGATGTCGCCTGGCGCCGAGCTCTGGGCGTGCCTGGGAGGGACACAGGAGGCGGCTCTGTGTGTTTGTGCCGCAGCCCGCGTTGCGCAACGAACATGTACTGCACACAAAGACAAAGGTGCCCCGTGGAGCCTACACGGACCGTTGAGGCAAGTGCCGTCCGCTTGGCTCTCCTCGATTCGCCAAGTAGTTGAATTGCACTCGTTTAAGGCTGAATTGACCTAGAGGAGAGAACCAGGACCGGTTCTGAAAATTGCCAACGAATGATGTTTTTTTTTACGTGGCCAGGAATGGAACTTGGGGTCGCCGGGTTCGTAGTGCACGGTGCGTTAACCGCTGCACCACCGTTCCTCGGTTCGCACGAGCCAGGCGGCCGCCCTGGTTAACAGTGCGGTGGGCCGCGATGGTCGTGACGCCACACGCCGTCTGCTTCGCTCGCGCGGGGCGTTAAAGATCCCGGTGGCTGCCATTGGCAGGAGTCGGTTGGTCGTGCGCCGGTGTTAAGGTCCAGATTTGTAAAGTGACACCGCAGACTACACCATTTTTAATAATTACACAAACAGCAACAGTAGCAATCGTCTTCAACGACTTTACTTGGTAAGGCCCCACTGAGCTGTAGCTCTGTGTCAGGAGCGGCCTGGCGACCACCAATGATCGCTTTCACCGAGTGGCTTCTCGGCATCGCGTGGGAATGTACAGCAGTCGCCAAAACACTCGGAAACGCATGACGTTGATTCTGTAATGTGGAAATTCATAGCAGCCAAATTATCTAAATGGACGATGATTCTAAATGTGGAGGGGGAAACCGGAGGAGCCGGAGACAATCCACGTGGCCACGGGCGGACCCCGACTCCCCCCCCCCCCCCTTCAGGTCCCTCTTGCAAATGTGACTTCTATCCTGGCCTCTGTTGCGGTCTCACCTGGGCACGTGCGTGTGTGTGTGTGTCTGTGTGCGTGTGTGTGTGTGTCTGTGTGCGTGTGTGTGTCTGTGTGCGTGCGTGTGTGTGTCTGTGCGTGCGTGTGTGTGTCTGTGCGTGCGTGTGTGTGTCTGTGCGTGCGTGTGTGTGTCTGTGCGTGCGTGTGTCTGTGCGTGCGTGTGTGTGTCTGTGCGTGCGTGTGTGTGTGTGGAGTGACGGGTGGCTAAAGCACAGCAAGTTGGTACAGTAGGGGGCACAGGTGGTGCATCAGCCAGTCATCTCGGTCGTCTCAGTCGACCTGTGGCACCTGCTGGGTCTGCCCCGTGACCTCCTGCCAGCGGTCGTTCGACACTTCACGTGGCCTCAAGGTGCACATGGCCTGGCACAAGCGTCGTGGTGACGTCACCGCAACTTAGTGGGGAATGGCGGTTGTTGTGTCTGTGTGTGTGCGTGCGTATGTGTGTGCGTGCGTGTCTGTGTGCGTGTGTGCGTGCGCGTGTGTGCGTGTGTGTGTGTCTGGGCGTATGTGTCTTTGTGTGTGCAGCCCGATGCTCGCTAGCAGCACTTGCCCATACAGTCTGTTAAGGCTACACGGGGATCTTTGTCTTTGCAGCCCGATGGTGGTGGTGACGTTGATTCAAAGGGAGAGAAACACAAACCCCCACAACTCGAGGGGTTTTCTCTTCGGGGTTCCTCGTCGACAATTTGTCACTAAACTGGGTCCGTGCCTCGAGCGTGAGGAGGCGTCACGGTGGCGCGATGTGACCACCTCGCCTGGTGTGCACGTGGGTTCGATCCCTCGACCCACGACGGCTGCTGCTGCTG